TATATACTTAATATGCGCATATACACATAAAAACTATTTATTCTTGGATACTCCATTCATTTTGTATGATACACACAAACATTAATTTTTACACAGTCCGTTAGCTTTCAGTACATCACTCATTTATGGTGTACCTAACATAAAACTTCCATACATCATTTCCAGTACACTTAATCATGTTCTAAGGTACATACAATATTAAAAATTAGAATGTAATCTAAATAAACATAGTTCTCTAGCTTTGTATTAAAACATTAGAGCTATAAAATTATTTGCTGTCAGCCTGTAAGTAGGTATTTGTACATCTGAATGCACTTGATATAATTCAAATCACTACAAACTTGTAAATGCAAAAATCTGTTTGTTATTAATTTTATGTTTACTGTGGAGTTTGTTTGATGTATTTTTTGGGGGATTAGTTTTATATTTATTTTGTATATATTTTAAAGAAATTCTACCCAGAATCACTACAAAGGAGGTACCTTTCTATTTGTTTTCTATAGTTTGTGTAAAGTTTAAAACATATTACCTTTGTCCCTTTTCTTAAAATTAACTAAGTTCCCATTCCTACTTTTAACAACATACCTTTCTTGTTAACAGCTCTGTTACAATTGGTACATAATCCATCAAACAGCCTCCATTAGGAAAACTGGGAATACGAAGTGCAGAAGTTTCCCCTAGTGATCTGGAATAATAACATCAGGAGGAAATAATGTGTTGTCATTCATTACTGGTAAAGAACAAAGAAAAACTGAGAATACAAAATGTTGAGATTTCTTCTAATGCTCTGGAATACTCAACATTAGGAGGAAATAATATGCCACTATGAGTATAGAACAAAGGAAAACTGGGGATGCAGAGTGATAAGTTTCTCCTAGTACTCTGAAATAGTTAACATTAGGTGGAAGAAATGTGCTGTCATCACTACTATTATAGCATGCTACCATGAACAATACTACTATAATAGCATGTTACCATAAGTAGTATTACTATATATTCTGATGCTCTCAAAATAATAATACTATTTTAATATACTTCTAGAAACCTGGCTAAGTAAAAATAATACAAAAAGTTTGGCAGTGTTTAACATCATAATAATACTGTGGTTACATTTATAGCATGCTCATATGAAACTTAAGTATGGCACACGTGACAAATAATACTTGGAGAAACTTCAGCAAGCTGACCTCTTGTGGCACCAAAGCAGCCTTGGTTTAAAAATTTCATTACACATTAACATTATTGTCAGTTTTTTAACATTAGTCTGAGTATATTCATTTACCATTAGAACTCCATGAACATCAGGTAACAAAGTAACTACCAAGCTTACATGACTGAATTGCGGGCTCAGTCTGTTGACAGGTGCTTGCATTTTTACAGGGTCTACATGTATCACTGGTTTCTATACAGAAGAGAATTGGCTTTTAATCCTATGTACATTGATGGGGGTCAAAGTGTGCATGCCACAACCTTTTATATTGTGGCATTCAACATGTTATTGTGTATTTGATGTTAGAGTTATCAACTATTCATTTTACTCTACATTGCTGATTTAGCAAAAGTTTGTAATAAAGAAGAGTAAATACTAGATACAATATATGGGGACACTGAAAAATACTGGAAATACACACTTCAGAAGTTCTAGAGTTTATGTAAATGAAAACTCTACAATGAAGAAAAGTATTTCTATTCTTTACATGAACATCTTACACTCCAACTTGTCCAAGTCTGATATCAACAATTAACAGACATATCTTGAATACATATATACTTCTAACACATCTTTTTTGTTTGTATACAATGGATTTGTACATTTTACTAAAAGCTAAACACATTTCATGTAAATACACATAGTAAATTTGGAATTATAATCAACATTCCTTCTCCTGTATGGGGTTGGTTCAATAGACTGACCCCATGCACATTCAATTAACAGACTGAAACCACAATTCAATCAAGTGATCTCAGCAGTTAACTTGTTTTGTAAGTAATACAGTAAGGTTGGCTCATTTGATTTTGAATATCAATACACACACATTCTTTACAAATCATGACAACTGTTTCTTCAAGTGTATATCAATGCAATGAACATACTATCTTGGTTATTTATTTGATACATTTGTCTACTAATGCTAACATCTGAGACAAGAATGACTTTTTAACTATTTAGAAATGTGGCCATTTACTTACTGTTCAACACGTGGAGACAAGTACAGCTGAGGTGTGATTTTAACTCCTTCTATTGTTTGAAATGTGATTAGAAGCACAGCAGAATCTTCACCCAGATTTTCCTGAATAAAAGTAAGCATAAATTTTTTATATCATGACAAACTGTAAGGTCTAGTCCTGACAAAATGAAAGTTATCTTTACTTAACGTTGAAATAAATAATGATATGAATAAAAATTATTAATTAATGTCATCTAAAAGTTGGTTCTACGTGAATGTTTAAAAATGGAATAATTATAATTGGAAGCAAAACTATGTCTCAAGAACATTTAACCTCTTCAAATCCTGCAAACATAATGTACAAATAATTTTAAAACTGAAATAAACATTGAAACTTGTTAGTTTAGACTAGGTAAGATAGCGAAAAAAAATAATAATAATAAAAATTCTTCACCAGCTATGCTGACGATCATTAGATAATTCAATACCGTAATGTGAGATGCACATCATCAAGTTATTTACGAGTGTGTGGTGAGATTATTAGTTAGACACAGTTCAAAAGGCAATAAAACAATAAAATTTATGTATAAATATATGTATACTGTTATAAGCTAAAAGCTATTTATGATAAACAAATGCAGTTTCATGTTATAATTTGAAGTCATCCTGGAAAGAAAAAAAGGGTAATTTAGATTTATTTCAAATTGTTTTTGGTGGTTATGAGGTTGGTCTAATTGACCAATCTTGTATAGTTAGGATAGAGAAAATAACAAAATATGATGTTTTATTGGAAAAAATGAAATATTTTTAATCTTAACATGGTAATCACCTTACACACGGACTAGTAAAAAAAAAAGACTTTTGATATTCCGATTATTCACAGACAAATCATTAGCAAAAATACTTCATTAAAAAATCCAAATTTTGGCATACAAAAGACTTATAATTTTTTCTGAGAGCCTGACAAATCTTGTGAAGATACACATACTCTATCAAAAGTTATATTATGGAAATTATAATGAGTACAAAATGGTTACGAGGTCAGTCAATTTGACTGATCTCTTAGCAAGAGAGTTAACCTTTTTATCAATCAAAGACTTTCTTTATAACTTTATTCTTATATCAGAAACTTTCAGTTATTTAGTAGATAAATAAAATGTTATAGTAAATAAAGTAAATCAGTAACAAGGAGTTCTCCAAGGAAAAACAGTATACTGTTACAAGAGTAAACTGAGATGTTATAAAGTTAAGTCCTTGCTGTGCCTGTGGAAGGCATATAAGAGTCGATGGTTTCAAACTCCAGTTTCAAGTGGCACAAATGGATGAGAATGGTGTTCCACTTTCCCTTCCCTGGATGGGATGCCAGTCCATTGCAAGTTAACCCCAAGCTAATAGCTGGTATCCATCATTCAGCTGTGTAGACTGGAACAAGTAAGGTTAAGTGTCTTGCTCAAGGACGCAACAATATGATACCGGCCAGCCTTGAACTAACAACCATCCAACTACAAGTCCAAAGCATGAAGCCACTATGCCACATTACAAACTCATAATTAAACATCTGATTTTCATATATGAAACACATTCACTACCTTCTCAGAGATCGTTATCCATGCTAGGTGCCTTTTTTTTTTTTTATTATGATTAGGAGCATTTTAGTAATACAGAATCATATCAGATAGAGTATTTATGGGCATGTATGTTTATTCAATTAAAATATGTACCATGATGCACATGTACATTGTGTATTTTTATATATCATATCATGGTTTGGGGTATTTTCTTAATATACAAGGTTAAATTGTAGTCCTGAGAATATCACATCCGTTAATGATATTTTCAAATGTAAAATAGCAAATATAACACAGGAGAGCTGATTTCTAATGTATGACTTCAATAAAATGCAGTTGCCTCAATGTTTTCTTTGACACATATGTTCGCTGGTGGCACTGGCTAACATACTCTTGGACACACATGTGCATCCAGTGACAATGAATGTGTTAACTCTTTCAGGACGGGTTCAGTCCCTGGGACCAACCTCATAACCATTTTGTGCTTGTTATAGTTTTCATACTATAACTTAAGTTAGTGAGCGAATGTTAGCAAAATTTGGTACATTATCAGTAAACATTACAATGCTTTGATATGCAAAATATCAATTTTTTTTTTTATTAAGTCTTAATGTTTGTAAAGCAATGTTTTTCTCATGCCTTTTTTTCTTTTCCCATGTTGCCTATCCAACATGC